AAGCCCTTAAAAAGTGGAAAGGCATCCCATGTTCTGTTCCATGGAGCAGAAAACTTATTGTTAGGATGGCAGTGCTCTCCAAATTGATCAATAGATTCAATGCAAAAGATGTTCAACATTAGTTATTAGAGAAATATAATTAAAACCATAATGAGATATCTCTTTACACCACTAAGATGACTAAAATTAAAATCATGCAATAACAAGTGTTGGTAGGAATGTGGAGAAAGTGAAACCCTCATTCATTGCTGTTGAAATCATAAAATGGTGTAGCCACTTTGAAAGCAGATCAGGAGTTCTGCAAAAGGTTAAGTATAGACTTGTCATATGACCCAATGACAGTTTCCCTCCTATGTATATACCCCAAAGAAATGAAAACATTTACACACAAAATGTTGTTTATGAGTGTTCACAGCAGCATTATTCATAGTAGCCAAAAAGTGGAAACAACCCAAATACTTATCAATTGATGAATGGATCATAGAAAATGTGGTAGACCTAAACCATAGAATATTATTAAACCATAAAAAGGAATGACGTACTGATATACTGCACAATGACATGGATGGACTTAGAAAACAAGCTAAGTAAAAGAAGCCAGTAACAAAAGAGATATATTGTATAATTCTATTTATATGAAATGTCCAGAATAGGCAAACTCATAGAGACAGAAAGTAGATTAGTGGTTTCCAGGGACTGGAGGAAGAAGAGAATGAGGAGTGACTGCCAACAGGTTTCGATTTTCTTTCAAGGGTGATGAAAATTCTAAAATTAGATCATTGCTGATGGTTGCACAACTCTGTGAATATACTAAAAATGACTGAATTGTATACTTTAAAAGAGTAAATGTTATGGTGCACAAATTATATCTCAATAAAGCTGTTATAAAAAAATAATTAGCCAGGTTTTTGTTTTGTTTTTTCAGATGGTCAAGGAATTCCCAGCTTTACATCACAATCAAGTGATAAAATTAGAACTGGGGTGGTTAACCCCAGTTAACCTTTTTCAGTCCATTATTAACTACCACTTCTTACTTTTTCTTGCAATAAAGAAAGGATAACTATGAGAGGATACCATAGAAATCAATTTTTTTTTCTTAAAAGGAGCATTGCTGATTTTTCACTCACATCATCTCTGGGATTGAAGTCCATTTATAAAATTCCTTTTATAAGAGCTTTTCTAGTTTTTAGTAATGGGCTGGAAGAATTTTTATTTCTTAGAATTTCTTTGTATTAGTCAGATTTTAGTGTAACCTGCTTTGCTTATTCATCCCTGAGTTCCAAGTCATGATTTTGCTCAGGACAAATAAAATGCTCTACTAGCATGAGACTAGTAGAAAGGAAACTACCACTTAATGAGGCCTGTGTCAGATGCTCCACTGACATCCCATCCAATGCACACAACAAACCCAAGAGCAGGTATTATTGTCATCTTTTTGAAGGTGAAGAAGCAGGCTAATAGAGGTGAATGGACTGCCCAACATCACACAACCCAAAGTGGCAGACCCCGAGAAAACCTGTGTTCTTTGCTGAACCCCAGGATACCTTCCAGTGTTCTCAGTTCCACGCAGGTCAGACGGGGTTCATTTATCTTTATGGTCCTTTATGACTCTGGCAGAAACTAAAACTGCCAGACTTTGGCTACTTGGAGAGTTAGTTCAAGGCTGAGGGTGATTTTCCAAGTACAATGTGTGATACTCCTCAGTCCCAGAACCACATTTTCCAGACTGATTTTCTGTGACTCCTAATTAATTGTTCAATGTTCATTCAACAGTTTGTTAAGCACCCACTGTGTGCCTGGCACTGTGCAAATATTAATCAACTAAAATATGATTATACAGATTATTCAGGTTTTAGAACTCTGTCCTTCTGCTGGAGGATGGTAGGAGGGGTGCCTCTTTCCTCTCTAGCTAGAGAGCAAGGGTGAAGTGGCCCAGAACAGAGCCTGCCCCACCCAGGGCTGCTGGGCTCATGCATGCACATGTGCACATCTGATCTGTCCTGTAAAGTATGCTTGACCTTGAGCTTTGTGAGGGCAGAGACCATGTCTTTCTTGTGCCCCACTCAGAGCCTGGCCTGGAGCAGGTGCTCAATGTCAGTTGAATCAATGATTAAGCAATTTTTTTGACCAATTCACTAGGAGAACTTGGGCTGGTTGCTTTATTGCTCTGTGCCTTTACTTCCTCATTTGTAAAACAAGGATAAAAAGAGTACCCATCTCACATGGCAACCCTGAGATCATCTGAGATAATACACGGCACTCAGTGAGCACTCCACAAGTTATTGTCATTCCCATTACTGTTATTGTAGGGAGGCATGGGAGGTGGCACATCCTTCTATGCCAAGAGTGACCTCCCATTCCCTATTACCTTATCACCTGGATTTTTGTATCTTAAATTAGAGCTGAAGGCCAGATGGACCAGCTACGTGAAACTCACTCTGCTCTGTTGTGAGAACCTTGGTCTGAGACCCTGCTGATGGAACAGACATAGTAACCCTGGGAGGCCCCATTCGAGGGGCAGGGAGAGGGGGGTAAGCTATGTTTCAGAAATGTTAGTGTTTGACTTGAAAGCACAGCCCCAGAGCAATGCCAGCCAGCTCCTCACCAACATATCCACCATTAGCCTCTGAGCAGGTCATATGAATGTATGTGTGTGTGTGCCTGTGTGTACAAACATGTGCAGGGATACACAGGGACAGTTCTGTCCCATCAAGGAAAACACTGTCTCCCACTGGGCCCGTCATATCACTGTTAACCACAGGGAGGTTTTGTGGCCCTGGCTAGTGGGGACCCAAGATATATCCCTCAAACCTGAAGGGTCTGGGAGCAGGGAGGGCCTGGTTTCCTAAGAAAAGCCCTTTCTGAAGCGTCCCCTTTAGGACTGGCAGCTGATTTACTGGACTCTAGCCCTTTACTCCAGGTGGAATTTTGTCTGCCAATCCTGTGTCTTAACACCAGGCCCCTCACAACTTCCCAGAAAGACTCTTTGGGCACCATGACTTCCCACAGGAGAGCCCAGTCCTAAAGTCAACCATGGGCAGCCACGCAGTCTAGCTGCCTTCCCCTGTTGGTTGTAAGCAGGGTCTCCAAAGGCAGATAACACCCACATGGGCTTAGGACAAATGGCTACTGTGTGTGTGTGGTTCCTCCTGTGCTGCATCATTCTGACAGGGCTTCTTGGCCCCTCTTCAGGGAGGGAATGGGACCAAAAGCCATGGATACAGAGCCTCCAGGAAGGAGAATGATGGGAGCTGGCCCTCACCCCACTCCCCTTCCCAGTGCCCTCATTCAGAACTCCTGCCTCTGCTTCATTCGCCCGAGACCAGGCTTGACCCCTTACCAGGGCCAGCTTCATGGGCATGCAACTGTGCAGTCACACAGAGCCCCACACTTGGTTTCAGTGTCTTACCATTGCTGTCTTGAAATTCTTAGTAACTTTTGACCAAGGAGTTATGCATTTGCAGTCTGCCCTGGACCTGCAAATCAAGTAGCCAGTCCCCAGTCCTACCCTTTGCTCACGCAATGCCTGGCTCCACATCTAACAGCCTTCCTTTCCTTTCTCTCTCTAAATCCTATCTATCCTCCCCTAAGGCAAAGTTCAGATAGAAAAATATTTGAAAAACTACAAAGAAAAGCACATTAGATTTGAAAGAGCTTTTCTGCATCATTCCATCTGCAGATGGAATGATGATGGTTGGCATGTTAACGCGTCTACCAATCTTGAGTTTTTCCTGGCTCTGTCCAAGGCTAAAGGCTGCGATGGAGGCCTTCTACTCCTAGTCCTGGGTAACTGTCTCCTGGTATCACATTCTTTGAAGAAGGGTAGGGCATCATATTTAATAAGCTCCTTTTGTCCTGTGTTAGGAGTACAGGTCTAAAGCAGGACGCTGGTACAAGTTTGGGTTCTGAGGCCCAAGTAGCTATCTATCATGCTCATTTACTTGCTGTGACTTCAGACAAATCCCATTCTCACAGTCTGTTTACTCTGCAAAATGAGTCACACCACATCATGAGGCCTTGGGGCCGCAATTGCTCATCTCTCTAAGTCAGAAGCAGATCCCAAGAATATCTGAAGCTTTGGACAGTTATTTTTGGAGGTAGATGTCCATGAATGCAGGCACACATCCTGTTTACTGTTTCTGGTCTATGGACTGGCAGAACATATTAATCTGGTGGCCATAGAGTTTTAGAGGGTTCATTCCCCTTTCTCCTGAAGCCCACTCAGGAGCCCCATGTGAGGCAACCCAACTCTGGGTACAGCCTCAGATTTTTCCTTGGATTGTGCCTGAGCGGCAGAGTGCTGAATTCCTGGCCCAAGTTGTTTTTCTTCTGCAGAGCTGTGTTGGGCGTTGCCCCTAGCCAGCATTGTAAGCACTGTGAGAGGCGACCTCATGAATCTTGCTATTGTCTATAGGACAGGGATAAACTCGAGGACATTATCCTCAGCATCAGAGAGTGGCTCTTTTGTGGAAGAAGTACATAGGAGAGGACTTCTTTTAGATCTCAGTATTCAGAACAAGTGGGTGCTTCTGCAAATGAGCAGACTACTTCGGGTAGTGACCCTTCTGAGAGCTGGGATACGCAGAGCCAGTTTTGGAGCCCTGTCTGGCAAAGCAGACAGGCCCAGAACAGGACAGTCTAGGGTCAGTCTTACCCCAGGCTTGGTTTTTGCAACCTCCCTCCCCTTAATTTTCCGTTTGCCCCAATTTCCTTAGCTTTTTGTTTTACATTTTTCTCTTATATGTGTCTTAATAAACATCTCTGTCTGCTGCAGAATGAAGTGTGATATAAATATGTGAGTTTGTGCTTAAATCCACCACACTTTCAAGGGAGTTGTGAGTATTAAGAATGAATTATTTGGCAAATGCTGTAAAAGGAGCCCCACCCCAGACAGAGCCAGGGATGGGTGGGAGGCAGGGGGTCTTTCCTCCAGACTGGATCATCTTGCCATAGACAGTAGCCCCCCAAAACCCAGGCCCAAAGTGCTCATTGGCATCTAGTTATTTATTTTTTTGTTAATAAATGAAAGGTCACTAAATACACTTTGAAATCTTTGCAACCTCCCCTGAATTTTGCTGAATTGACTTAGGTCAAACTGAAACTGGCTGAAACTCTCATTTTGTAGACACACTGGCAGGGACTTGTTAGGGCAACAGCATCCCACAGGCCCTAGGGAATGGGAGGAACCACACTTCTGGAAAGACTAGATGGGAAGGAGGGTGTAGGGATGTAGGAAGGGGAAATAGGGAGCCCTGGAGAGGAGTAAGTTAAGTAGGCCCTAGAATAGCGGGGCCCTGAATCAGGCCCCAGGCTTGGCCTAGGCGTGAGTGGACCAGGGACCACATGATTTTTCAGAGGGGTCTACTCAGAAAATAAAGTCACAGAGCTCCTGGAACCAATTGCACTTTTCAACACGGGAAAAGAAATTTTACCCCTGGACCAAGCGGCCATGCCCTCTGCCCTGCCCTTTGGGCTTTTTAAACGCCTTCCCTCCACACTAGGCTGCCTTCTAAAGATGCAGTGCTACTTTTACTTCGGATTGCTTCACAGCTGAGGGATCACCAGTCACAGCCATGACCTCAGCTGGCTTCCTGCTACGTAATGCAAGCAGAGCAGGAGCATCACCCTTCCTTTCCAAAGAGGATCCTGAGTTTCAGGGAGGGCAGTGACATGCCCCAGGTTACTTGCCGCAGTCCCAGCATGGGCCAGTCAAACCCAGAGCTGTAAGGCCTATGCCCTTTGCACAAAGGCAATAGCCTGGCACAGGGGAGGAGACTCTGCCCAGCAGCTGTGTTAATATCCCCTCGGAGCTGGGCTGGGGTTGAGGTCTGCCTCAGGCTGGGCTCACGCTGCATGCTGTCTTCCTTGGCAGTGGAATCTGGTGTGTGGGGACGACTGGAAGGTGCCTCTCACCACCTCCCTGTTCTTCGTAGGCGTGCTCCTCGGCTCCTTTGTGTCTGGGCAGCTGTCAGACAGGTAAGGATGTGGGAGGGGAGGAAGGTGGGATGGCACCCCTTGTCAATCACTACCTATCTTGGGATTGGACTGAATACAGGGTATTTCTACCCAGAGAAAGGGAGGATCCTCAGGCCACTGAGTCCGTGAAAGGAAGAGCCCTAACATCTCTTAATCACCCTGTTCTCAGTCCCCTTTGCCTGGACACACTTTTGTTCCCTTCTCCCAGCCTCATACTCCCAGGGCTTTGGCAGATTGTGGGGAGGGGCCACTGACCCCACTGTTCAGTGATGTCCTCATACCACAGACTGCTTGACAAAACATGATGCTGCCATCACCATTGCCCTCCCTGCTCCACCACCACGTCAGGGGCAGGGGTGGATGGCACAGGATCTGTCTGCTAGGACAGCCAGCAACCAGACAGTGAGCCTTTGCATGCACTGCTGCTGTGCATTGGGCCCTGGTTGGGCACTAGGGCCACAGAGCTGATGCTGGCTCTGGGCCTCATAGCACTTACAGGCCTGAGGAGGCAGCATCACAGCACCGGTAGAAAGTGTTCCACAGGCCCCTGGATGTGCTATGGTGACCAGTGCAGGAAGGTGGGAATGCTAAATGGCAGTGCTGGGGAAAGCTTCCCAGCCCAAGCCAACAGCCAGAAACGTGAGTTTGGAGAATGGGGCAGGAGAGGCCATGCTGCTCATACCCATGCTCCAGTCTACCCACTGGTACTACCAGAATGTGAAGGTCACTACCAGAATGTGAAGGTAACAAACCAACTGCAGTGTCACCAACAGACATTGCTGAAAGCTACATCTTCCCACAGAGCAGTGGTTTGCAATTTTGGTTGCACACTACTTGTTTGGGAAACTTTCCAAAATTCTAATACTGAAACTGTATCCCGAAATCTTGGGAGGTGGGGTGCAGGCATCAGTATTTTTTTTGTTTTGTTTTTTGGGACGGAGTTTCACTCCTATTACCCAGGCTGGAGTGCAATGATGTGATCTCAGCTCACCGCAACCTCCGCTTCCTGGGTTCAAGCAATTCTCCTGCCTCAGCCTCCCGAGTAGCTGGGAATACAGGTGCGCACCACCATGCCCAGCTAATTTTTGTATTTTTAGTAGAGATGTGGTTTCACCATGTTGGCCAGGATGGTCTCGATCTCTTGCTTCGTGATCCACCTGCCTTGGCCTCCCAAAGTGCTGGGATTATAGGGGTGAGCCACCGTGCCCGGCTGGCATCAGTATTTTTTCAAGCTCTCCAGGTGATTCCAAGTGCAGTCAAAATTGAAAACCACTTGCCAAGTGACTCTTAGTTCTGGATTTACAGAAGTTTCATGTTGCTGATTCAAGAAATATCTGTAGTCTGCGCTGTACTCACTTTCCAGAAATGTGCTGGCAGCATCCATCTCTGGCTCCTTCTAAACAGCATATTTCCACATGGTCCTTGCAGACTCAGTTCCATGCTTTTGAAACATAGTGACTCCACAGGAAGCTGAGAATCTCAAAGCTATCTCCTGAGCAGAGAGATGCCTGAGACCTCACCAAGGAGGAAGATGAGAAGATGTGACAGGGGAAAAAGTCTGCCAAAGCCCTGAAAAAACACTAAGTCTGCATTGATGCCTGACTCAGGGTTTGCAACATACCTTGGCAACCTACACCTCTCATGTTTTGTATTATACTGCATTTTCTAGGTTCGGCAGGAAAAATGTTCTCTTCGCAACTATGGCTATACAGACTGGCTTCAGCTTCCTGCAGATTTTCTCCATCAGCTGGGAGATGTTCACTGTGCTATTTGTCATTGTGGGCATGGGCCAGATCTCCAATTATGTGGTGGCTTTCATACTAGGTAGGAATGGCTTCTGGGACACGGGGTTCCTCCCTCCAACCCTCTGAAAGGCCCAGAAACAGAAAATATTGGGCCATTGGGCTGTGCTTCCAAAGCCCTTGAATATATGTGTGTTGGGATGGAGCTGTAGCTGTAGCTCTTGGAGCAAATCACTCATAGAGACTTGCTCACAGGAACTTATGAGGGCAGGCACTCACAGGAGCCACCTCTATGCTGAACCCTGAAATATGGTGGAGGAGAAGAGCTGGAGCCATTAAGAACCAGCCGCACAATAGCCAAGACACATTCTCAGGAACACAGGGTTTGAGAGAGGCACAGAGGAGGACATTTTAGGGGAAGGGCAGCCTGAGGATGTCTGATCTGAGCTTTGTAGGCTTAAGACTTCTTGAGCCTGGTGGCCTGTGAAGGAACTTACGGTAGTCACTGTGGCCAGTACACAGGTGGGGAGGCTCATGCCAGACAGGGAGGGTTCAGTGCCAGCCCGTCATCATTGGGCCCATCTGGTCTCACCCTGAGTCAGAGCACACCCCAGAGCCTATCAGCTAAGCACAGTCCGGAGCCTCCCTGCACTGATAGCAGGCCCATCTCCTGTCAGGCTGCACGAGGAAGACTCATCAGCTACAAGGTCAGGAGGAGGTCCCTGGGGCCCTCAGCAGAGCCCTTTTCCTGGGAAGGAGTGAGGTGAGCTCCGGACAAGTTGATCAGGGTCATCCGCAGGAGTGAGAGCCCCCAGTATGTTTTCTGAGCACAGCAAATGGGCAAATGAGAGAAGCAGAGGCGAGGGGTATCTCTGGGACAGGAGACACAAATTCCCATCATCTCTAGAGTGACAATATATTCTAGCTTACTCAATACCACCCCAGTGTGTCTCTATTGTCACAGTGTCATTATTAATAATGCCCCTTTAATAGAAGTCTAATGATTCTTCTTGCCTCAAAAGTCTGAATCTGGTTAGGTGACTCTGATTGCTTTTTAAGAGTCTGGAGGACTAATTGGCTTTGGAGATGCTGTGCTCTCTTAGTTGAAGGTGTGTACACCCTTCATCAGGCTGCCAGGATGGAATTATTACACCTCCACTCCTCTATTTGTGAAGAGCCCCGTGCCATGGGCTCAGCCTCAGTGTCTGCAGATGGGAGGAGGGAGGAGAGAAGGAGGGAAGAAAATGCTGGAGCCACATGGTCCCAGCAGATAGCATACTCTTCAGCAGGCCCCAGTGAGAGGAAGCTGCTCCCCTTACTTCAGGGGGAAGGAGAGGGGCAAGATTTTCTTGAAGTTCATTTGTGTAGAGGCATAGGGAGCTTCAGGCCAGTGATGTTGGAAACTGGAGGTTGGAGGATCTTAGGACAGAAATTGCAATCTCCTAGTCCCCGGTGGCTCCAAGATCACAGGGCAAAGCCTACTGTCTGCATGTTTGAAGTCCCCAGAATCCATCTGTGTGATGATCCTCCCAAAATCTGAAAACCCCAACATGTAGCTCTGCTAGGTAGACACACACCAAAAACCAAACAGGCCTCCCCAAAACAGAGGACTCTGACCGCAGGCTCATATCCCAGGAAGACCTGAAGGACCACCTGGATCACAAGGGCAGAGAGTCACGGTGAAGCCAAAGAAGCTCCATCTATGGGAATGGGAACAAGGTGGGACTTGTGCTAGGTGGTGGCATCCCCAGTTATACAGAATGGGCAGCATTGAGATCTGCCTTTTCAGTGGCACGGGGTGCTTCTGGGACCTCCAAGCCTCCCCTATGCGAGTGAGTGAGGCAAGGAGAGCATACTCCAGGCTTCCTACAGGAAAGGGCTGCCCTACTGGCCCTGACACTGTCATCTACTCTCCTCCCAACTCCCCATGCAACGTGTGGTCTCACATGCAGGGTGGAGAAGGGGAAGAGGGCCAAGGAGAAAGTAAGGTCATGGAAGATCAGTCAAGTCAGCAGTCAGTAGGTGAAACCCTGGGTGCAGCAGCCTTACTGTCCGCCAGGATCTGGGCTGCTCAGGGCTTGCTATCAGTCTGGGGCCAGGCCTTCTGTAGGGTGCTCTGGGAGTCTCTCCAGTGGTAGTTTTACTCCATTGTGCTCTGCAGGAAATTACTGGCTTTTGTGTCCTGGTATGAGACTCGTTGTGTTGGGTTCTCAGGTCTGAAAGTTTAAGAGTGTCCCTGAAAATTAGCCTGCTCTGGAGTGGCTGACTCCCCAGTCAGTGCCTGGGACTGGGGGACACAATTGAAAGGCAAGGTGGTTGCTGGCTCTCCTACAGTGCAGCAGCGCTCTCTGGTGTTTCTGAGATAAAATTGCTGAATTCCAGGTTGTATTTACCTAAAATAAACCAAAAAATGGGATCTGGGCTGAGGAGTTCTGTAGTTGCCTTCGCTTCTGCCCTCTGGCCCTAAGGAAGGGTTGGCAAAGCTCTGCAGTGATAATTTCAGATTAATTTGGGAAGCCAAATTACTCCCACTGTCAAAGCAGTGCAGAAATGAGTCCTTGTTTTGTGCTGCTTTTTAAAAATGATCGAGCCTGCCAGAGTCACGGCAGACTAGGAAAAGGGAAAGAAAGAACAGTGCTACCCAATTCAGCATAAAACAGACATGCCTGGAAGTAATGGTGTTGCTAGAATGACACTGGTTTAGGAGGAAATGACCACTCGGGACCAAGGACACCAACCCTACCCACACTTCAGCTCCCCTCACAATCTCCTACTGTTGTCCAGAAATAATGCCCTCCACCTGTCAATAGCCTTCTGGGTAGAATGCCATCAGTATCCTCCCTTATCCCCCATAACTAGCTGCTTAAACACAAAAAGTTACCTGCCTCCTCTCTTGACTGATTCATTAATTCAGTATGTTTCAATACTTCTAACATCAGCCTCCCATGTGACATTTCTTTGGGCATGCTGAACCATTTAAAGCCTTGCTTCCTCTGACATCTAGAGGTTTCTCCTTTTGATAGGTGTGAATGATGGCATCTTCCTTTACAACTCTGGCTACTAGGAAGCTCAGGCAAAGTTGGAATTTAACTACATCAATGATGCAGTGTTTACCAGCCACATATTTGTTTCTTTACTGTTTTTACATTGAAAAGTTGACATATAATTTTGTCTTAGCCTGTTTGGGATGCCATAACAAAATCCTGCAGACTGGATGGTTTAAATGACCAAAATTTATTTTCCACAGTTCTGGAGGATGGAAGTCCAAGATCAAAGTGCCAGCAGGGTTGGTGTCTAGTGAGGGTTCTCCCTTGGGTTGGAGATGGTTGCCTTCTCCCTAAGTTTTCACATGGTCTTTCCTCTGTACAAGTGCTCAGAGAGAGGAAAAGCAAGAAAGAGAAAGCAAGCCATAGAGAGCTCACTCTCTGATATCTCTTCTTATAAGGACACTAATCCTATATCCTATCAGGTCAAGGGCTACAATGTATGAATACTGGAGGGACACAAACATTCAGTCCCTGACAGATTTGCATACCATGATATTCACACTTTTAAAGTGTACAGTTCAGTAGTTTTTAGTAAATTCACAAAGTTGTACACCCATCAACACTATCTAATGCTTCATCACCCCAAAAAGAGACCCTATACCCATTAGTAGTCATTTGCCTCTTCCCTTCGCACCTGGCAATCACTAGTTTACTTTCTGTCTTTAATGGATTTCCCTATTCCGCACATTTGATATGAACAGAATCATATAATATGTGGCCTTTGTGACTGACTTCACTCGTTTTGAAGATTGATACATGTTATAGCATGCATTAATATTCCACTGGATGAAGACAACACATTTTGGCCATCCATTCATCCGTCATTGACCATCTGGGAGTTTCTACTTTGGGGCTGCTACAAATAATGCTATGAACATTGGAGAATAAGTTTTTTGTGGAAATATATTTTTAATTATCTTGGGTATATACCAAGGAGTGGAAATGCTGGGTCCTATGGTGATTCTATATTTAACCGTTTGAGGAACTCCAAACTATTTCAAAGTAGTCAGCTGCATAGTTTTGTTCTTTTCACCAAGGCACACCTTTTACTTTTCTTTATATCTTACTTTAATGTTACCATTACTTTATTGTGTTTAAATTTGAAGTTGCCTCAAAATCTCCAAGAGATGAGCTGGCATATAAATACATAAATAAATACATAAACATGATGCAGAAATTTTCCAGCATGCCTTATTTGCATTGCACCATGAGAGGGAAGAACTGTGGGGACCCAGGGAAAAGTAAAAACTCACTCCTGCCTATTCACAAGAAGCTCACTGCCTGGTTGTGGAGAAGCAGCCAACATAGTTGTCACTGTGGACATGGGGACATGGGTCATGGGAGTAGGGCACATATCATTGCTGGGTATACACAAAGATAGGAAAGGTTACTTTTGACTAGAGTGATCGGTGCAGAGATAGGGGAAGCCCAAGCAGGAGAACATCTATTAAGTCCTGAGCATTTTCTGGGAAGTACAGAGGGGTTCTGCTGTCTTCCACTGGGCCTTTGTGGATCAAAGGCATTTCTTTCCATCATTCCCTTCACATGTAGCACATTTCAACTGCTTGACCAGGATAAAGAATAACTATTGCTGAACACCTGCCACATGCCAGATACCCTCCTAGTCACTTTACATATCTGATCTCAGTCTTCATAATAATATCTCCATGAAGGAAATATTATTATTATCACAGTCACTCTAACAGCAAGTTAGCACCAAGGAACCCAGGCTCTCCTCGTGCCAGATGGAGGACACTCTCAGCCCAGGGTTCCTGGGTCTCACCTCATATCCTGGCAGCTGCACTACAGTCTTATTTCTTGAGCTGGGGTCTACTGAGGGCCTCTGTTGGTCATTTATGAAGGTTCATGTCCTGCCTCTGTGTGAAATGGACCCAGCGGTTCCAGAGGCAGGTACTGCTCTACATGGAAGGGAGCCTGGCCCTCTCTGAGTCACTCCCTCTTGGAGAGAGTGCTCAGATTCAGGTGGGTGTGACAGATGGTAGGCAATACTCCTAGGGCTCCCCTGGCCCTCATCTTAGCTAGGTTATGCCCCTTTTGCTTAGATGTCAAAATTTCACCCCAGGAGACACTCAGAGGCCCAGTCAGACCAAGACCAACCAGGCTTTGCACTAGAAGCAAAGTAGGCAGAGGAGGCTGATGGAGCAGACAAGACCAGGATAGGGATCCCCAGTCAGCACAGCAGGAGTCACTACTGTCATCTGTCTCACTTATACATGGAAAGCTGGTGACAGCTGCAGGCCATAAAAGATCTGCATAATCAGGCTCCTTTCCTAGCAGTCCTCAGAGGCGGCTGGCTGGCCTCCAGCGACAAGCCCAGGAAGGGAAAATGCAAATCCACTTCTGAAAGGCAGATAAGGAGTGCAGATCACCTGAGTTCAAAAGTTCAAGACCAGCCTGGCCAACATGGCAAAACCTGGTCTCTACTAAAAATACAAAATTAGCCAGGTGTGGTGGCTAGTGCCTATAGTCCCAGCTACTTGGGAGGCTGAGGCAGAAAAATCACTTGAACCCAGGAGGCAGAGGTTGCAGTGAACTGAGATTACACCACTGCATTCCGGCCTGGGCGACAGAAAGCATCTGTCTCAAAAAAAAAAAAAAAAAAGAAAGAAAAAGAAAACTGAAAAAATGAAAGCAAGATATGGACTTAACCACCTCCCCTCATGTCCCTACTGGAATCTCAGTTGAAGAACTACTTTATAGGACCAAGGCTTGTCCCCAGCAATTTTTTTCTTGGAAGGTAGACCAGTATCCATAGAACAAATAAGGCTTAAATCCTGGTACACCACCTATTACGTGCATGAATTTAGGCAACTGGCTTTAACTCTGAAGTCTCAGTTAATTATGTATAAAACAGGAGGAATATTAGGGTTTTTTTTTATTTTTTGGTTGTTTTTTTTTTTGCAGGGAGAGAGTTTCGCTCTTGTTGCCCAGGCCGCAGTGCAATCGTGTGATCTCAGCTCACTGCAACCTCTACCTCCTGGGTTCAAACGCTTCTCCTGTCTCAGCCTCCCGAGTAGCTGGGATTACAGGCATGCGCCACCACTCTTGGCTAATTTTTTTCTATTTTTAGTAGAGATAGGGTTTCATCATATTGGTCAGGCTGGTCTCAAACTCCTGACCTCAGGTGATCCTCCTGGCTCAGCCTCCCAAAGTGCTGGGATTACAGGTGTGAGCCACCATGCCCAGCCTGGAATATTAGTTTTTATATAACGGGTATGAAAGATCAAAGAGATAATATACGTAAACACTTAGCCTGGAACCTGTCTCAAAGTACTTACTCCAAAAAAAAAAAGCTATCTGTGAAGATGGTGATCCTGTTTAAGGAAGGGTGACTGCCTAAAAGTCAGAGAGCAGGAAGTAGGGCTAAAAAGGAATTATTTCAATTTGTACCATCCATGCTGTCCACAGGAAGGCAAAAAGACAGACCTACAAAGCCTCTGTCCCCAGCATGCACTCTGCAAAGTTATATAACTCTGTTCTGGTCTGAGTCCCACGTTTAGAGACGGAGATTATCCAGGAACCCAGTGGTATAACCTCTTTTCTTAACAAGGTCACAATGGTAGGAGAAAGCTTTCCTGCCCTCACAATTCTACAAAATTCTCACTTGATCCTATGCACTTTCTCTTTTCCAAAATCACACCCTCTGCTGCTTCACTTCTGAATCTCTGCTTAGGAATAAAGCACCCTCTGTTTGTTTCCACATCATAATCATAGCCAAAGGGTTTAGAAACCAGTGCATAGCAGGAAGGTCACTAATGAGGTAAGAAAAGACCTGAAAATCACACTCATGATCCTCAAAGAAGTCGGGCCCTATGCTTGGAAATGTTTCTAGACTGAGCAATGCTCTGGGTGATTAGGGCAACTGTCTGCAACATGGTATGCAGAAGGCACAAAGTACTGGCTGTTTCTGTCAGTCTGGCTTTTTTACATGGCCTCTCAAGAGGGACCCACTGAGGCAGATCTCTCAGTTAGGAACAGTGAGAGAAAATAAGAGGGGTGGGATGAGCACAGGTAGGTGGTAAAATGAGAAACCAGTCAAAGTAGTAATTTTACTGCTTCTCTGGAATTAGCCCTTAATCCTTTAGCCTGTGCCCAGAGCATATAAACATGATTGAGAAAATCTCTCTTGAAAGCCAATCATGAATGACCTTTGAATTATCTGTTTTGTGTCTTCTGAGACACTTCTTCTCTGTAGTGTGTGCAGATCCCCAACAAAAGGCAGTCAAATCTCCACCCCCAAGGGTAGAGAACCAAGGGCAGACTGTGGAAAGTGGCTGGAGCTCCATGACAAGAGAAGGAGCTTTGTTCTGGGACTCCCCGGTCTCTAAGGGACAGACAATGACTCTGGAATGCCAAGTAATCCACTGCAGTACTGAGCAGAGCAGAGGCCAACAGTCATTTGCATGTCCTTTCCCAAAAAGCAGTGCCCACATCGAGCAGTCATGGGCCTTTGTGCTGTTCTGGGAAAACTGTGGAGTTCACTGGGTGTGTGGCCAGGTCCAGGGCTACTGCCTGCAGGGGCAGCAGAACAGCTCCTGCTTTTCTTTCCTTGGTGCAAATGGACTGTGTCTGCCTGGGCTGATCTCTGGGTACAGCATGGCTGCAGGGAATTCAGTCCTGGGTGCTGAAGGCCTGCTCTGTGCACCTCCAGAGCCAGCTCACTCCAACCAGTTTCTCAGGGCTCAGGCATGGGTAAGTGCATCTTGAGGTCTTAGAAACAGTGAACTCTCCTCTGCCTCCTGATGGGCCAGTGTCCGTTTATTTACAGTTCAGAACTGTGGGAAAGGCTACACATACCGTGACCCCACACAGCCCTTCAGAAGAGCCACTGCTTGTCTCCTGAAATGCTCTCTCTGCTTCTCATGTTGGGGCTTATTTTGGAAATGTGGCATTCTCAGAAAGGATTAGCTCTTGGAGCTCGCATGATATTTCTATAACATAGAATGGCCTTTAAAAAAAAAAAAAAAGTGGCTGGCGTGGTGGCTCATGGCTGTAATCCCAGCACTTTGGGAGGCCCAGCCAGGTGGATCACTTGAGGTCAGGAGTTCAAGACCAGCCTGGCCAACATGGCAAAACCCTGTCTCTACAAAAAATGCAAAAATTAGCCAGGCATGGTGGTATGTGCCTGTAGTCCCAGGTACTCAGAAGGCAAGGTGGGAAGGTCACTTGAACCCAGGAGGTGGAGGTTGCAGTGAGCCGAGATCTCGCCACTGCACTCCAGCCTGGGCAACAGAGGGAGACTTCATCTCAAAAATAAATAAATAAATAAATCTATGGCGTCTTTAAAAATCTCATGGAAATTCAACCTTCTGTAAGTTGCCAAGTCTCAGATCACTTCCCACCTTTATCCACCCTGACCATGCCTGCTCTGGGCCATGAGGCAAATGCCTTTTCCCTTTTCTAAGTGATGATAGTTTGAACTCTACCTGCCACATAATGATATAAAAAGCAAACATTAAAATGAGTTAAAATGCTAATACTCCTCCCTTGTTTTGAACAGGAACAGAAATTCTTGGCAAGTCAGTTCGTATTATATTCTCTACGTTAGGAGTATGCACCTTTTTTGCAGTTGGCTATATGCTGCTGCCACTGTTTGCTTACCTCATCAGAGACTGGCGGATGCTGCTGCTGGCGCTGACGGTGCCGGGGGTGCTGTGTGTCCCGCTGTGGTGGTGAGTGTGACTCGTCTCCAGACAGGCCCTCTGCTGCGGGTCAGCACACCTGGAACACACCTGGAGTCTGGTGCTGACCTAGCCTGGGCTTACATGACCTCCATGGAACTCATGGAGGCCAGCTTCCAAGCTGGGAGAGTTTTCACCTCATTGTGGGTGGGCCTGTGTGCTGGACTTTGAGTCTCCATTGTCCTGCAAAGCACAGTTCTTGGGATTCCAGTCTCTTCCTTGACTCCAGCCACTCTTGTCTGTTGCTACTTGTCATTTGTAAAGCTGGTGGTGTTGGGTTTTGTTGTTTTTAACTCTGCCCCTTCCCCTGCTCTTTTGTCACTTTTCTCTCTCTAGAAATATCTCTCTCTATTCAACTAATGTAATTTTTCAAGCTTCCCTATCATATAATGATTAGCATCTATGATAGGGAAGCCTATTTATTAGCACTTATGATAGTGTGCCTATTTATCTGCTATGTCTTAAAGAGTGAGAAAATTACTTTTATTTAATAAATTGTTAGAGAAATGTTCTCTCCCCCCACAACCTCTCAACTCAGTTTCTACACAACACTTAACAGGAATAACAAAGTTTGAAGATTCTGGCCTCAGTCTTACCCAAAATGACTATTTGGGAGCTTTCAGGTGAAAGAACAGATTAAAAGTAATAAGGTATAAGACCAGCCTGGCCAAATTATTCCTTATTCCTAATAAGGAATAAGGTATCAGACATACTCTTTTTTGGGGGATTTCCCATTTCTTTGCTTTTTCATATTTAAGCAAGAGGAAAGGGGATTTCTTCCATTTGTGGGTCTGGTTAGGTCTCTCTCTGTCATTCTCTCCCTCTCTCTCTCATTAATTCTTCTTGGTTTGATTTCATTATATCAAAGTCAAATCTTCCAGCACTGACTAGTTTTACCAAACTTCATGATTTCTACCTGCTTACACATAATTCAAGCTTCTTTGATCATTTTTTGGAACTCTCAATTTAGACTAGACTTCATGGTTGCCCTGTCCTTTATATACCTCCTGACTAGGAAGCTGTCTAGGTTTTTATATTACTGCAGCTGTTAGGCAGTCATAGAGGTTGACAGGCAGGCCACCTTAGCCCTGTCTGACCAGACACTGCAGGTCAGGTGGGCTCACTCTAAGCCCCTGTATTCTCAGGACCTCTCAGAGTGCTACGATTTACCAGTGCAAATTCTTAGCATGAAATGTGCAGGGGAAGTTGAGAGATAGTTTGTTAAAGGTTAGGTATTATTCTGATTTGCAACAATCCTCTGGAATCCTGTCTGAGGACCAGAAAACCCAGTCTGAAGAGCAATAAATAAGGGCTGGCCATTATCTACACAGCTGTACCTCCAAGGAAAGCATCCCAGATTTACAAGAGCAGAGCGATGTTCTGAATGAGAGTAATTATCATCCTCATCATCTGTCCTTCTCTCCACAACTCCCTTGCTAACTGAATTTATTGGAAAAGATGTTGGTGACCAGAAGTTCTCTCAAGATACAAGACAAGATTATTCAAAGGTTCTTTTCTGCCTCTTCAGTTGAATGATTTTAATAAACTATGTTTTCTGGCTCTAGTTGTCATTTTGACCTAAGAGACCAGTACTTCCAAATGTTATAATTAGCCAGGCATGGTGGTTCACACCTGTAATCCCAGCACTTTGGGAGGCCAAAGTGGGAGGATCACTTTAGCCCAAGAGTTAAAAACCAGCCTGGGCAACATGGCAAAACCCTGTGTATACTAAAAATAAAAAACTATCTGGGTGCAGTAGTGAGCCCCTGTAGTCCCAGCTACTTAGGAGGCAGAGGTGGGATGATCTCTTGAGCCTGGGAGTTCGAGATTACAGTGAGCTATATGAGCATGCCATTGAACTCCAGCCTGCATAGAATAAGATGCTATCTCAAAAAAAAAGTTATAATCAATCATATTAGTGTATGATTTTATCAGAGACAAAAAGAAAGAGAGAATAACAATATAAGGCCCCTGATGGGCTGAACAGAGGTTAGTAGGGATGGGATCTTTCCCTCAGGACCAAATGTCACAGTGAGGAATGAACAGCTCTGATCCGTGAACCCTCCAGAGTCAGCCTCCAGAATTTCCAGCAGAGAAGGTCCATTCCACAGGGAGCCAGCTCACTCTGCCCTAAGGAGAACTGTTTCTTCTGTTCCCCAGGGGCGGGTCCATGAGTGCCCCTGGCTGTGGGCACACTATACCAGGGACAGGACTTGCCCCAGACAGAGGCCAGCCCATGACCAACACTGACAAACTGAGTGCTCCCCCTGAACATTTAACAGTGGTCTTATTATTTTTCTATAAAAGAAAATAGCTTTCTTCTGAACATCTCATCCTTGCTGGTGGGGCTTCCCAAAGCAATGCTCATCAGTCTAGTGGTTGGGGTATGGCAGATGCTTAGAGCTGACATGGACCCTTGCTGCCTGCTCAGTATGAGGCAAGCTCTCCAGCAGCACCTCATTCCTGTTTAGTCTGAATTAAATCTAGAGATCATAGTGTGCAACCGCATTTGGTACTCCACTGGCTTTTGAAATGATCAGCTAGTTTTGAGATTTTGTGCACCATAAAAAAAATGAAACTGATTCAAAATTAGAGATACCAGTGGCCCTCAGTTCAGTGGGCTAGAAATGGGAAGGAAACCTACATAGACCTACTGCTCATGGTTTGGGGGACTTTTTATGTCCCAAGTTTCCTTTAAAAGGATTGGCAGTAAGTGGCCACAGGTGTGAATGGAGTATGTGTATAGGGGTTGGGGTTGGAGTAGGGAAGCAGGCCATAGATGCAAGGTGAGGAAATCTATGCAATTTCTAGCTGAATAAACATTAAGAATCTGAGGCCAATGCTCTTTAGGAAAAGAGGTAGAATATTTCTAAGCACTACCTGGTTGGGAAAATATACTGGCCCAAAGTAGAAGCATCCATGAGGTGTATTGTGGCTGTCCAAGTAAGATCTCTAATTCTATACTAACACAGTAGCTGCCAGCCACATGCAGCTATTTAAATTAAAATTAATTTAAAGTAAATAAAATTAAAGTTTCATTTCTTCAATCACATTAGCTCAATAGCTACATGTGGTTAGTGGCTGCTGTTTTAGCACAGATATAGAACGTTTCAGAAGTTTCTACTGGACAGCATAGATCTAATTACTGAAAGTCAGTGACCTAACATGATCGTAGTTCCTATAAGGACCAACTAAAGGTATATTCTGAAAAATGCAAACTAGGCTCATTTTTCAACTCATGTACTAGTAAGCTGGAGAGGGGGAGCTGCTGGCTGGTCATTTGGTTTGCTCTGAGCTAGTTCCCAGTGTGGCTTTGGGGCCAATTAATTATAGGAGGGTTCTGTGTCTGCTACTTATAAATTGTTTTCTAGGCTAAGTACAGATGCTCTTCGACTTATGATGGAGTTACATCCCAATAAGCTCACTGTAAATTGAGGCTATTCTAGGTGAATACTCCTAACCTACTGAGGTAGGAGGCCAGACATGACTCCAGAAGCAGAGCTGGGACACCAGACACCACCAGCTAAAACAGAGCTGGGGTGGAAGCTGCTTTCCATAAGACACACTCATCAGTGTGCCCTATTAGTTTACCATTGCCATGATAACACTGAGGCATTATTGCCCCTTTCCATGGCAATGACCCAATGAGCCAAAAGTTGCTACTCTTTCCCTAGAAATTTCTGCATAAACTGCCCTTTCATCTACACGTAATTAAAAGTAGTTAGAAATATGAGTGCGAAACTGCCCTGAACTGCTACTCTGCCTGTGGGGTAGCCCTGCTCTGTAGGAGCAGTCACAGAGCTGCAACACTGCCTCTCCAATAAAGCTGTTTTCTTCTACATCCAGTTTGCCCTTGAATTCTTTCCTGGGCAAAGCCAAAAACCCTCATGGGCCAAACCCCACTATGGGGCTTGCCTGCCTTGCATCCCTACCAAATATCATAGCTCAGCCTGGCCTACCTTAAACATGCTGAGAACACTTACATCAGCCTACAGTTGGGCAAAATCTTCTAATACAAAACCTATTTTATAATTAAGTGCTGAATATTTCATGTAATTTATTAAATACTGTACTGAAAGTAAAAAACAAAACTTTGAGTACCTATACATGCAAGTATAAGTACTCAAAGTAAGGTTTCTACTAAATGCTATCACTTTTCTCCTATAATAGAAAAATCATAAGTTGAACCAGCCTAAGTTAGGGCATCGGTACTGACAATAGGTAAGGAAAATGAGAGCTGACAGGAAAACGGCTAAAATATTTTCAGAAATAAAAATTAGGAAAGAATAGAAGTCCTATTTTTTGCAACCGTGTTCGAGCATAAATTATAAATGGGAACAGACTATGTAATTTAAAACAATAAGCTTTTAGACTTTTTTTTAAAAAGACAACATTGGGTCTCATCTCCCAAAAACTGCTTTGGGCACTCGCTGATCTGGGAATCTGTTGAAAGCTATGGGGACCTCCCACAGGTGGTTATCAGTGCCCTCACTTTCTCTCTTGACTAAAGGAAAAGATCAAGAATACAGGTGCCCTGGCCGTCCTTTTCCCAATAAATTGTGAACATCACCAGCTGGGACACCAGCAATTCTCCTTAGGATGGACCCACTGCAAAGACAGTCTCTTCTCAAGGGGACGTATAGGCTAGTAGCTATGTTTCTTTTATGAGCCACACCACACTGGCTGTAAGTTTGGGATGAACTTCTCCAGATGCCCTGGCTCAGACATGCCCATAGTTAATGTTACCACTTATAGTCTGGTCCTGGTCTCAAGCACAACTGATGATCAGTCTCATAATTTGATTGGAAGTTTGAAACTTGAAGGTGCTTTTATTTATATTTCTATGCTCCAACAGAAATCTTATGTGGACTCTCTTTAAAAAGACAAACTAGAATTTTACAAAATTTAAACTATCTGGGGAAAACTCAGATTTAATAGTATTCAACTCTGCTGTTGTGAAAAATTATTAAATATTAAAAATAAATTATAGGTTCATTCCTGAATCTCCCCGGTGGCTGATATCCCAGAGAAGATTTAGAGAGGCTGAAGATATCATCCAAAAAGCTGCAAAAATGAACAACATAGCAGTCCCAGCAGTGATATTTGATTCTGTGGAGGTAAGCATTTGCCGATGTTTCCTCTTAGATCAGCTATGCATTCTTGATTTTATGAAATTTAACTTAATTCAATATTTGTTAAGTGCCCACTATGTACCAGGCATTGCACTAGGCCTTAGGAACACACTCATGATTAAATTCTAAGATAAAATCCACCTTAAAGGGCTGTTTATAAGAATTAAATGCAATAATGTATATAAACTGTTTAGCAAATAGCAAGCATTCATTAAATATTAGTTCCCTTTATTTTGCAAGTTTATCATCGGCATTCTATTGGCATTGCTCCAAACTACTGACACAGCTATGTTCTGATGATTTTTAAATGCCAA